AGCGCCGCCAACGGCCGGATCCACATGGTTCTTGCACTCACTAAAAAAGGTATTTGCGCGCTCCTGAGGCATGAAAGACGAAGAAAATGAAGGTCTCACGTATAGAGACAGCTGCGAGTGACACAAGCGGCAAGTATAAGCTTTGATCAGAGACGTTGATTTCGTGCTTACAGCAAAAGACGCGCAAGATGTTAGGCGAGGCGACTGATTTCTGGACAGCGGCGCGAGTCGGCATCTCGTAAACGACGATTTGCTACTTCTAGAGTCGACCGCATGCGCCCACCGAATCGCAATGGCGGATATGGAGTCGTTGTGTTTGACGCGCGTCGGTAGCTTTCGGATTAAGGTCCTCGTTTCGTGGAGCAGAGACGACTTTGACGCTGACGAAGATCTGCCTCGCACCGCTACTGTTAAAGAACATCGTGTCGTAAGGCAAGCTCGATAGCAGGGGTGCTGTTTCTGTCTAAGAAGGCAAAAGCGCTCGTTGGATCGACACGGAAATGGCGCAATCGCATTCGACGTTGCAATTACCAGCATTATGCTGTTTATCGGGACGTCATCGACGTGCGGCATGCACAGCGAAAGAGATGCGATATGGCCTCCCATCAAGCGCATAAGAAGGACGGAGACGTGGACGATGCGCAACGTGCAGACGCAGCGCGACAGCGGCGCCAGATCACCAATCGACAGGGCCGGCGGTGTTGTCTGCTTGGACCTCAAGGGCCTGATGATACCGCTGAATTGGTTAGGCATTCGATACCTTGTCAATTTTAACAATCCATAAGTTGTAACGGGGTGAATCGTTACATAACAATTTATAAGAAATTGTTAATAGAATATAACTATAAGAGTTATATTCTCAGAATATTGTCATAAGGACAATATTCTGTAGCACTTCCAAGTAGTTCCTAATTGGTTGATATAGGCCATTATATCAACCAACGAAGACGCGCCACGACAGACGCACGCAATGAGTGGTGAGCAGATAACTGATTTACACATTTGTATTTAGACATAGTTAGATGAAGATAAATAGTGATTTATTGCAGACATTAACTATTATAAATACAGTTCTACTTTTACTCTAACCAAGTACTCGCTTCTTCTTACCGTCTTCCTCTGCACGTACGAGTGTACGTGAAGTTACGAGGCACCGCCTTATTCTGTTATCAGAATAAGTAGCTTGTACTGTCACCAGTACAAGCTTCAGGGTGCCCCGTTACACCTGGTAGCACTTCGTAGTCCGTCCAAGGACCGCGTTCACATCCAACATGAATATGTTGGATGATGAAGATGACCAAAGCTTTCACGCTACGCGTGACGGCTACTCCCATTTGAGCGATGTCGAATGGGATGCGGTTGAACGAATGGGTTCGACCATGGGCATCCATGCTGTTAGCGTCATGCTAGAGGCTCTCAATAGAGATGCCCAACATGCTACTATCGCCAAGTTCATTCAAAATGAACTTGACGCAGAACGCGAGAAAGTAGCCTTGCTTCACCAACAAGGTTCTCAACAAGCAGAGTTGTTGAGAGAACAAGGTGCTCAACAGTTTGAACTGTTGAGACAGCAGCAGGCTGCTGCTGGCGGGTCGATGCACTCGCGTCGGCCCGAGACTTTGAAGATTGACATCTCAAAGTATAGGGGGTCGAAGAAGACTCCCTCTTGAGATGGTTCGTCGAATTGGATGACGCCATAAGGGCGCGTCGCATCGACGACGGGGATATGCAAGTTGCATTTGCCCAGTCAAATTTGGCAGGACGTGCCAAGACTTGGGCACTGGGGCTCAAGCTGCACGACCCATATGCGTTTGGGTCGTTGGAAGTCTTCAAGTCGCGGCTCAGACAAACGTTTGAACCGCCTAGAGCTGAGTTCAGAGCTCGAACCGAACTCTTGAAGCTCAAGCAGGGTAAGCGTGATGTGCACGCTTACGCTCAACATATACGACATCTCACGAGTTGTATAAGTTCCAATCCGGTGGATGAACACACGTTGGTTTCGGTGTTCATGCAGGGTCTTGCGGATGGTCCCGTCAAGACTCACCTGTTCCGGCTTGAACTAGATTCACTAGAACAAGCCATTTCAATTGCGGAGCAGGAAGACTTCAGTCTGAGACAGGCTCGCGCCAGCTCGACATCATATCGTCAACCGAGACGATATGACAACGGAGGTCCAGAGCCGATGGAACTCTGTTATGTAGAGAGCGAGAAGGCTCGCTCTACAGGCTACAAGAGGTTGCAGAGATGCAACAGATGTCAAAAGACAGGACACTACGCTTACGAGTGTAGTTCCCCTCGTCCAGTGTCTCGCGACACTGGGCGTAGTGACCGTCCACCCATGAGAAAGGGGCAGGGACGAGGGTCCGCAGTTGGTGCAAAGACGCAACGACGGGATGGACCGTCAAAAAACGGACAGGATCAGTAGGTGCGGAGCACCCTACTGATCCAGCAACGTCAAGAGAATTTGTAGGCCTCTTGATGAAGGTTGCTCCCAACACACAGACGTTGTGCGTTGCTGCTCTAGGTAATGAGGTCTCACTCATTACCTTGAAACTTGAAGTGACGAATAAGTTGTCCCTTCGAGCTCTAGTCGATTGTGGGGCGTCTGACAATTTTGTGCGACGCCAATCGCTAGAAGATGGTCACTTTAAATTCAGTGAATGTGACACACTTCCAACGAGGATGAAGGTACGTCTTGCGACAGGCGCATCCATAACCGTCATGAAGCGTATAGTGAAGATCCACTATACGCTATAAAATACCCAATACGATGATAACTTTATCGTATTGGATTTGGATGACAAATTTGATGTCATCCTTGGAATACCATGGCTCAGAAGGTACGAACCACGGGTAAACTGGCAACATCGGACAGTAACGATGCCTGCCGCTTGTTCATCAGATGGCCATCTGATGAACGTTTTGGAGCGTCCACAAGCGTGTGGATGTACTACGAGTGAGTGCGATGGCCTCACTTGTGGTACGGTCGTTAGTACGACTGCACAAAACCTTAGTGTACCAAACGGTTACACTTCGGAGCAAAGTTCCGGCGGCTGTGAGGAAACACAGGCTGCGCCGAAGGTCCACCACTCGAATAAGTCGGGTGGACTGGGACAAAGATGTATCCCTAGAGGGGAACATCTAGAAGAGAAACAATCGATCGCTCAGGTTAAGCGAAACGATAATCCTAGATCGACTGGAGAGTCTTTCGTAGAGGATCTCGCTGTGGTTGCGCAACCCCAGCTAGAGGAAGTAAAGGGAATAAGTCCCAAGATTACAAATACGGCGGAAATAAGTTCCCCGAAACCCGCGGGAATAAGTCCCCGGGAAGACGAAGGAATAAGTCCTTCGAAGCCTGAGGGAATAAGTCCCCAGGAAATGACAGAGACATTGAATGTCATAGTCAATAACGGATCATGTGTAGGCGCTTATACACTTGATCTGATTGCGCCTCCGAAGTTAACTTCGGAGATCACTCAGTTGCCAACGCTCGAACATAAAAGATTCTTGCGTGATCTGCGTAGTGGCAAAGTCAAGCAGATCTGCATACTCGTCGCTGAAGACGAGTATGTAACCGACATAAGGTCAGCAACAGTGTTTACTGAGAACGAGAGAGTTCTCAGTAGTTCATCAATGGACGAGAGTGTCCTAGATGAAAAGACACGAATTGAGCGATATGAGTCCCAATCATGGGAATCGCTCAAGGAAAATCCTCTCTATGAATATTTGGTTGAATTCAAGGATGTATTCCCTGAAACTGTTCCGTGCGAATTACCGAAGGATAAAGGTATTCGACACGAAGTCGAGCTTAAACCAGGCTCGAAGTACTGTGTCATGAAGCAGTGGCCACTGCCTCGTGAACAAGTACTTGCGATCGACAAGTTCTTTGCCGATCGTTTAGCAGCGGGCCATGTGAGGGAATCAACTTCCCCACATAGCTCTCCGACCTTCTGTGTGCGAAAAGCAACAGGAGGGTGGCGGATAGTGCACGCGTTTAACAAATTGAACGCTGCAACGGTACCGGCTCAGACGCCGATACCGAGGAAGGACGTAATCATTGATGGTATGTCAAAGAGTACCATCTTTTCGTCCATGGATTTGATGGATGGCTTCTATCAAATCCTAATGCGGGAACGGGATATACCCTATACCGCAGTTAGCACGCCTAGCGGCATGCTCTGGGAATGGCTAGTAATGCCACAAGGGCTCAGTAATGCCCCTGCCACGTTCAACAGGTGTGTATCACATCTGTTGAGGCCAGTACGAGAATTCGCGCCGAGTTATTTCGATGACGTATTCATCCATAGTCGAGCTATGGATGGAAAGTCGGACGTTGAGGTTCACAAGTACCACGTCCGACAAGTTCTTACAATCATGCGAAAGCATCAATTGTATGCAAACCTCAAGAAGTGTATATTTGCAGCAAGCGAAATACCACTTCTTGGGTGCATCGTTGGTAAGAACGGTGTACGTCCTGATCCCGAAAAGATCAAGGCGATCACCGACTGGCCCGTGCCGGTTGATGTCAAAGGTCTTCGAAAATTCCTTGGGCTAGCGGCGTATTTGCATAAGTATTCACGCAATTACGCCGAGATGACTGTACACCTCTCTCGTTTGTTGAAAAGAACGAGAGGTGGTTATGGAACGCTGAATGTCAACGCTCCTTTGAGGGTATCAAGCAGAGCTTGATACAATCCCCAGTCCTAGCAATAGCCGATCAGGACAGGCCATTTCATGTGGTCTGTGATGCCAGCGATTTCGCAATCGGCTGTGCATTAATGCAGTACGACCTTGAAGGCGTTGAACGCGTCGTCTGCTATCAGTCGCGTCAGCTGCAACCAGCTGAGCGGAACTATCCAGTGCATGACAAGGAACTCCTTGCCATGAAGTATGCACTCGCGAAGTTCAGAGTCTATCTATTAGGAGATAGACCCTTCGTTGTTTACACTGACCATGCGTCCTTACGCACGGCAGTGAACAGCCCGCACCTTTCACAACGAATGGCGCGGTGGTTGTCATTCTTTGCAGAATACAACTTTACGGTCGAGTACAAACCAGGACGACTTAATGTCGTCGCTGATGCACTCTCACGTCGTCCCGACTTTGAAACAGTCGCGAAACCCAACAGTGAGACAGTCACTGTTGCGGTTATGACGTCCTCAGTCCCATCTACAACGTTGTATGATGATGTGAGGCGGGCATACGCCCAAGATGGTGAGATTGTGAAGTTGTTGACACATCTCTCTCAACCATCTCGAGAATCGTTGAAACGATTGTCGTCTGCGTATCGATCTGCATCAGATCGATACACTACTCGTAACGGTTTACTGTACTATACAGCCGTTTCTGGTGACACACCACGTGTTGTCATTCCAGATGATATTGATCTGCGTTTGCGGATCATGTTCGAGTATCACGATGCTCCTATAGGAGGACATCGTGGCCGAGAGAAAACATATCTCACGGTGAGTCGAGACTTTTACTGGCCCCGCCAGTATCAGTTTGTGCGAAAGTATGTTCGCGCATGCGAAGTCTGCCAACGAGTGAAGTCAAGTCCTTCACTGCGTGCACCTTTACAGCCTCTACCGGTTCCGGCTGAGTGCTGGGAATCCATCTCAATGGATTTCGTCTTCGGGTTACCCAAAGACGCACGCGGGAATACGGGTATTCTCGTATTTGTTGACAGATTCAGCAAAATGGTACACCTTGTGGCTGTACCAGAGACAATCACGGCAAGTGGCTGTGCTTGTGTCTTTATTGACACCATCTTCCGACTTCATGGGTTGCCCCGTGAACTCGTATCAGACAGAGATCCACGATTCACTGCTGATTTCTGGCGTTCCGTGTTCAAATCACTCGGAACGCGCTTGAAGATGTCAACATCTGATCATCCAGAGTCAGATGGTCAGACGGAACGTGCCAATCGTGTCCTTGAAGAGATACTTCGAGGATACGTACACTCCTTTAAGAGTTGGAGTGAGTTTTTGCCGATGGTAGAGTTTGCCATCAACAACTCGGTGCATGCGTCCACGACACATACACCGTTTTACGTGAATGGCTTGCGCCATCCGCGTGTACCCACCTTACTAGAGTGTAACTCTGGTTTAAGGGGGGGAGGGACTCGCGCGAGCAAAAACCGATTTGGTTCACGCTCATCACGCTCTGACGAAGAAGTCATTGCGTTTGATGCCGATATCGATAACATCGATATCGAAGAAGATGATGCCATTGGGAGTGCGGAAGCCCTCACTGAAGACAATGATCCCAGTGAGAGTGCGGAAGCCCTCACTGAAGAAAAGGTTGTTGTCGCTGCAGTGCGCTCACAGCACACTGAAGCTAACGAGTCATCAGATGAGTTCATACTGGCTCGTGAAACGGTAGTCCGTTTTGTGCAAGACTCCATCGCCGAAGCGGTGGATAAGCAAAAGCAAAACGCTGACAAGAATGGAAGGGCAAACACTCTTTTATTTAATAAAGGTGACTTAGTCCTACTGTCTACGGTTAATCTACCAAAGCATGTAGTGACTAACTTGGGTAGCAGTAAACTACTACCCAAGTACATTGGCCCATTTCGTGTATTGCACCGCCTAGGCAATGCATACACGATCGAGTTACCACGTAAGATGCGAACGCATCCCACGTTTTACGTTGGTCGGCTTAAGCCGTACCATCAGTACTCTGCTTCTTCCGATGAAGAACGCCCTTGCGCTCAAGCATCTCGCAGAGAGCCTTGTGCTCCCGATGGTGGGCATCAACAAGGGTCTGAAGAGCAGTTATCTCAGCCCGAGACCGATTAACAATCCCACGAGCTACCCTTAGCTCGTCACGAAGAGATGTCAGAGATCTCTCGTTCTCAAGCTGAGCAAAGGCAAACTCAGCTCGATGCTTCGAGGCAGTGTCCACCATCTGGAGACGCCTATTCCGCTCATGCTCGAGATCGTCGCGTAACCCTTGCGTTACGCGATCAAAGAAGCTCTCGGGAACACACCGATCCACATGATCGTGTGGAGAGCGTCTTTCCTCCTCCTCCACCTCCATTAGAGGACTCTCGCGGTGGCCAGCGCTATCTAGTTGAGCAGCTGTTGAACCACCGCGACGTGAACGGACGTCGGACGAGTTACCTCGTCCGGTGGCGCGGCTATCCCCCGTCCTGGGATTCTTGGGAGCCCCGCTCCCAATTGATGGTTGACGTACTGGGTCTGGTCGAGCAGTACGACGCGACACATCCTGTGCCGCAGAAGGACCGCCGGAGAAAGTCTTCCCGGCACGGTCGTAAAGGGATTTCAGGTTGTCAATCCCTTCGTACATCTCAGTAGAGACACGTACGCGCCACCACGGGCTGGTAAGGAGGTAAGCCTCCTTAGGTGCTCGTGCAGAGTTGTTCACACAACATGGGCACGAGTCTCCCCAAGAGAGGCAGGGTAATCCTTTCTCCCTTGACAGACGATGCAGCTTGTAGCGTGCACCTGTCGGGGTTCGCTACTCAAACTTATCACGAGCTTTGATAAGTTTGTCGTTCCAAGCGTCACGACCTACATCCTCGAGATTATGGATGTAGGCGTTCCACGCCTGAAGTAGTGAGGGACCATCACGTTTGTGATTCCCACTGTACCATCGATGTCTAAAGAAAGCATCGATGAAGAACTCATGTTCAGCGCGATAGTCTTTCGCGCTGGGGTCAAGGTGATGAATCCTTGACGAATCGAACAATCGTGTTCGATAACGATCACTCGTCGTCGCCGACAAGTGATCCATGACAGATTTAGGAGGCATCCATGCCTTCTTTTCTGGAGCGAGACGCAACACATTGCGGTCCCGCTCTTCCTGCGACGTGCCGACAGAAGTACTGGCACCTCGCTGTGAAGTGGTGTCCATTGGAGAAACGACACCACTATTAGCGCCCGAGTCTCGCGACCTCGAGCGCCTTCGCTTCGGCGATGGTTCATCTGACTCATCAGATGAACCAAAGATGCTGCGACGCAAAGCATCGTCCATGCCACGCTTGGCAGGCGGCTTGGATTCAATTGCCGTCGATACGGATCCGTCATCCGTATCAGGAGAGTACGAGACACCGAGCTCGTACTCTGTGAAGACACGAGTGTCTTCATGACCAGCGCCTGCATCACCAGGTGATACAGGCTGAGTCGATTCAGCAACCGATGGGACATCAGTTGCTGTAGTTTCTGCTTCGGCGTCCGCACAGAGACGTGCAGACGCGCTCTCGGCGGCCTTGCTCGCGCATCGCATGGGCTTGTTTACCATGCGATGAGATGTTGGAAAGTGGACGCGGACCAACAAGTGCAAACCCCGTCCCAAATGATTTGGGACGAGTATCCATTTAGTCAATCAGTCACTAAAGTGACTGATGGTTAGGGGGGTGATGTAACGGGGTGAATCGTTACATAACAATTTATAAGAAATTGTTAATAGAATATAACTATAAGAGTTATATTCTCAGAATATTGTCATAAGGACAATATTCTGTAGCACTTCCAAGTAGTTCCTAATTGGTTGATATAGGCCATTATATCAACCAACGAAGACGCGCCACGACAGACGCACGCAATGAGTGGTGAGCAGATAATTGATTTACACATTTGTATTTAGACATAGTTAGATGAAGATAAATAGTGATTTATTGCAGACATTAACTATTATAAATACAGTTCTACTTTTTACTCTAACCAAGTACTCGCTTCTTCTTACCGTCTTCCTCTGCACGTACGAGTGTACGTGAAGTTACGAGGCACCGCCTTATTCTGTTATCAGAATAAGTAGCTTGTACTGTCACCAGTACAAGCTTCAGGGTGCCCCGTTACATAAGTCTTCTACTTACGCATGTTCCTCGCGCGCATCCAGGATGCGGCAGAAAAGCAGTTTGAGGCGTTCCTCTTTCACTTTAAGCGATCTTCAGCATCAAGATCAATGTCTTTCGCACCGACGGCGGCTGAGAGCATGCCTCTATCGCTATCTTTTGGATATGAACAGGCGTCGCGCGTCAAGTGTCTCAACCGCGCAACCAAGCATCAAATGGCAAGGCGGAGAGGATGTACTGGATGGTGTTGAACCTTTCGCACAGCATGATATTTGCGTGTGCTCTGTCGTTGTAGTTCTGATTCTACGCGGTGCAGTAAGTCGTTCACATCCTTATCCGCGTCCCGACGCAAGAGAGTGCAAAGAATGCGTCGCCTCTCAATGTGCTGACGGGAAAGGCGCCGTATATGCGCAGTATTGTTGTCTTTGGTTCTTCCTGCAGCGTGTAAGAATTCTCTGAAACGGCGCTCGCAGTGCGGCGTCATTGTCAGCGATGAAACGAAGGGGTACAAGGGCTGCTGCATAAGGAGAACAAGGTCATTGTCACTCAGCACGTGCAAACATCGGGGCGCTGTCGGACTGGCAGATTGCGCAGCTTTAGCGCAGGATGGATGAGGACGATAGAGCCGATGGTGCCGAAGAGCCATCACCAGCAGCGGAGGCAGTTGTGGCGACAAGTGACAGCATTTAAAAAAGCTTAAAAGGATCGCACAGCTTGAGAGAAGAGCAAGAGCCGTGGACGCGACAAGCGCATGGGATGCGCACCACGAGGAGCGAGCTGCGAGCGACGATGTGGTCTGCGCTGCTTTTTGCGCGATCTACGCAACTCTGTCAAGGCTTTGCGCAGCGCAAATTGCAAAGGTTGGAAGACGGAGATGAAGGAGGATTTTGATGCGCTCGAGGATAATGGTGTGCGGCGCATGACAGAGCGCAGCCTAAGCACGAAAGCTCTCCACTCTAAAGGGTTTTCATGAGCAATACGGGAGCCGACGAAGAGCTCGAGCAGTACAAGGAAAGGCTTGTCGGATACAGCGATGGGTAGGTGCTTGGCGTCGACTCCAACCTGAAGTTATTCGCCGTGATGGAAATCTCGACGACGAAGGTCGTGTTAATGCTTGCAGCGACGTGGGTCGTGCCGACAAATCATTAAGACATCCCAAACACGTACGTGTGTGCTGAAATAAAGAGCACCTCGACATCCGACTGCATGGTCCGCGCGGCACAACGGTGTCGGACAGCACGCTGCTAGATATTGGTGTGGCGCATGAAGGCGAGGTTGTCTTCAATCTGCGATGGAGCGTGGATGAGATCAAGCAGGCAGGGCGCCTGTAACGGGGCACCCTGAAGCTTGTACTGGTGACAGTACAAGCTACTTATTCTGATGACAGAATAAGGCGGTGTCTCGTAACTTCACGTACACTCGTACGTGCAGAGGAAGACGGTAAGAAGAAGCGAGTACTTGGTTAAAGTAAAAAGGAGAACTGTATTTAGTATAGTTAATGTCTGCAATAAATCACTATTTATCTTCATCTAACTATGTCTAAATACAAATGTGTCATCAATTATCTGCTCACCACTCATTGCGTGCGTCTGTCGTGGCGCGTCTTCGTTGGTTGATATAATGGCCTATATCAACCAATTAGGAACTACTCGTAAGTGCTACAGAATATTTGTCCTTATGACAATATTCTGAGAATATAACTCTTATAGTTATATTCTATTAACAATTTCTTATAAATTGTTATGTAACGATTCACCCCGTTACATCACCCCCTTAACCATCAGTCACTTTAGTGACTGATTGACTAAATGGATACTCGTCCCAAATCATTTGGGACAGGGTTTGCACTTGTTGGTCCGAGTCCACTTTCCAACATCTCATCGCATGGTTAACAAGCCCATGCGATGCGCGAGCAAGGCCGCCGAGAGCGCGTCCGCACGTCTCTGTGCGGACGCCGAAGCAGAAACAACAGCAACTGATGTCTCATCGGTTGCTGAAGTGACCCAGCCTGTGTCACTTGGTGATGCAGGCGCTGGTCATGAAGACACTCGTGTCTTCGCAGAGTACGAGCTCGGTGTCTCGTACTCTCTAGATACGGATGACGGATCCGTATCGACGGCGATTGAATCTAAGCCGCCTGCCAAGCGTGGCATGGACGATGCTTTGCGTCGCAGCATCTTTGGTTCATCTGATGAATCAGATGAACCATCGCCGAAGCGAAGGCGCTCGAGGTCGCGAGACTCGGGCGCTAATAGTGGTGTCGGTTCTCCTATTGACACCACTTCACAGCGAGGTGACAGTACATTTGTCGGCACGTCGCAGGAAGAGCGGGACCGCAATGTGTTGCGTCTCGCTCCAGAAAAGAAGGCATGGATGCCTCCAAAATCTGTCATGGATCACTTGTCGGCGACGACGAGTGATCGTTATCGAACACGATTGTTTGATTCGTCAAGGATCCGTCACCTTGACCCCAGCGCGAAAAACTATCGCGCTGAACATGAATTCTTCATCGATGCTTTCTTTAGACATCGATGGTACAGTGGGAATCACAAAGGTGATGGTCCCTCACTGCTTCAGGCGTGGAACGCCTACATCCATAACCTTGAGGATGTAGGTCGTGACGCTTGGAACGACAAACTTATCAAAGCTCGTGATAAGTTTGAGTAGCGAACCCCGACAGGTGCACGCTACAAGCTGCATCGTCTGTCAAGGGAGAAAGGATTACCCTGCCTCTCTTGGGGAGACTCGTGCCCGTGTTGCGTGAACAACTCTGCACGAGCACCTAAGGAGGCTTACCTCCCTAATAGCCCCTGGTGGCGCGTACGTGTCTCTACTGAGATGTACGAAGGGATTGACAACTTGAAATCCCTTTACGACCGTGCCGGGAAGACTTTCTCCGGCGGTCCTTCTGCGGCACAGGATGTGCCGCGTCGTACTGCTCAACCAGACCCAGTACGTCGATCATCAGTTGGGAGCGGGGCTCCCAAGAATCCCAGGACGGGGGATAGCCGCGCCACCGGACGAGATAACTCGTCCGACGTCCGTTCACGTCGCGGTGGTTCAACAGCTGCTCAACTAGATATCTCTGGCCACCGCGAGAGTCCTCTAATGGAGGTGGAGGAGGAGGAAAGACGCTCTCCACACGATCATGTGGATCGGTGTGTTCCCGAGAGCTTCTTTGATCGCGTAACGCAAGGGTTACGCAACGATCTCGAACATGAGCGGGACAGGCGTCTCCAAATGGCGGACACTGCCTCGAAGCATCGAGCTGAGTTTGCCTTTGCTCAGCTTGAGAACGAGAGAGCTCTGACATCTCTTCGTGACGAGCTAAGGGTAGCTCGTGGGATTGCTGATCGGTCTCGGGATGAGATAGCTGCTCTTCAGACCCTTGTTGATGCCCACCATCGGGAGCACAAGGCTCTCTGCGAGATGCTTGAGCGCAAGGGCGTTCTTCATCGGAAGAAACAGCGTACTGATGGTACGGCTTAAGCCGACCAACGTAAAACGTGGGATGCGTTCGCATCTTACGTGGTAACTCGATCGTGTATGCATTGCCTAGGCGGTGCAATACACGAAATGGGCCAATGTACTTGGGTAGTAGTTTACGGCTACCCAAGTTAGTCACTACATGCTTTGGTAGATTAACCGTAGACAGTAGGACTAAGTCACCTTTATTAAATAAAAGAGTGTTTGCCCTTCCATTCTTGTCAGCGTTTTGCTTTTGCTTATCCACCGCTTCGGCGATGGAGTCTTGCACAAAACGGACTACCGTTTCACGAGCCAGTATGAACTCATCTGATGACTCGTTAGCTTCAGTGCGCTGTGAGCGCACTGCAGCAACATCAACCTTATCTTCAGTGAGGGCTTCCGCACTCTCACTGGGATCATCTTCTTCAGTGAGGGCTTCCGCACTCCCAATGGCATCATCTTCTTCGATATCGATTTTATCGATATCGGCATCAAACGCAATGACTTCTTCGTCAGAGCGTGATGAGCGTGAACCAAATCGGTTTTTGCTCGCGCGAGTCCCTCCCCCCCCTTAAACCAGCGTTACACTCTAGTAAGGTGGGTACACGCGGATGGCGCAAGCCATTCACGTAAAACGGTGTATGTGTCGTGGACGCATGCACCGAGTTGTTGATGGCAAACTCTACCATTGGCAAAAACTCACTCCAACTCTTAAAGGAGTGTACGTATCCTCGAAGTATCTCTTCAAGGACACGATTGGCACGTTCCGTCTGACCATCAGGCTCTGGATGATCAGATGTTGACATCTTCAAGCGCGTTCCGAGTGATTTGAACACGGAACGCCAGAAATCAGCAGTGAATCGTGGATCTCTGTCTGATACGAGTTCACGGGGCAACCCATGAAGTCGGAAGATGGTGTCGATAAAGACACAAGCACAGCCACTTGCCGTGATTGACTCTGGTACAGCCACAAGGTGTACCATTTTGCTGAATCTGTCAACAAATACGAGAATACCCGTATTCCCGCGTGCGTCTTTGGGTAACCCGAAGACGAAATCCATTGAGATGGATTCCCAGCACTCAGCCGGAACCGGTAGAGGCTGTAAAGGTGCACGCAGTGAAGGACTTGACTTCACTCGTTGGCAGACTTCGCATCCGCGAACATACTTTCGCACAAACTGATACTGGCGGGGCCAGTAAAAGTCTCGACTCACCGTGAGATATGTTTTCTCTCGGCCACGATGTCCTCCTATAGGAGCATCGTGATACTCGAACATGATCCGCAAACGCAGATCAGTATCATCTGGAATGACAACACGTGGTGTGTCACCAGAAACGGCTGTATAATATAGTAAACCGTTACGAGTAGTGTATCGATCTGATGCAGATCGATACGCAGACGACAATCGTTTCAACGATTCTCGAGATGGTTGAGAGAGATGTGTCAACAACTTCACAATCTCACCATCTTGGGCGTATGCCCGCCTCACATCATCATACAACGTTGTAGATGGGACTGAGGACGTCATAACCGCAACAGTGACTGTCTCACTGTTGGGTTTCGCGACTGTTTCAAAGTCGGGACGACGTGAGAGTGCATCAGCGACGACATTAAGTCGTCCTGGTTTGTACTCGACCGTAAAGTTGTATTCTGCAAAGAATGACAACCACCGCGCCATTCGTTGCGAAAGGTGCGGACTGTTCACTGCCGTGCGTAATGACGCATGGTCAGTGTAAACAACGAAGGGTCTATCTCCTAATAGATAGACTCTGAACTTCGCGAGTGCATACTTCATGGCAAGGAGTTCCTTGTCATGCACTGGATAGTTCCGCTCAGCTGGTTGCAGCTGACGCGACTGATAGCAGACGACGCGTTCAACGCCTTCAAGATCGTACTGCATTGATGCACAGCCGATTGCGAAATCGCTGGCATCACAGACCACATGAAATGGCCTGTCCTGATCGGCTATTGCTAGGACTGGGGATTGTATCAAGCTCTGCTTGATACCATCAAAGGAGCGCTGACATTCAGCGTTCCATAACCACCTCTCGTTCTTTTTCAACAAACGAGAGAGGTGCACAGTCATCTCGGCGTAATTGCGTGAATACTTATGCAAATACGCCGCTAGCCCAAGGAATTTTCGAAGACCTTTGACATCAACCGGCACAGGCCAGTCGGTGATCGCCTTGATCTTTTCGGGATCAGGACGTACTCCGTTCTTACCAACGATGCACCCAAGAAGTGGTATTTCGCTTGCTGCAAATATACACTTCTTGAGGTTTGCATACAATTGATGCTTTCGCATGATTGTAAGAACCTGTCGGACGTGGTACCTGTGAACCTCAACGTCCGACTTTCCATCCATAGCTCGACTATGGATGAATACGTCATCGAAATAACTCGGCGCGAATTCTCGTACTGGCCTCAACAGATGTGATACACACCTGTTGAACGTGGCAGGGGCATTACTGAGCCCTTGTGGCATTACTAGCCATTCCCAGAGCATGCCGCTAGGCGTGCTAACTGCGGTATAGGGTATATGCCGTTCCCGCATAATGATTTGATAGAAGCCATCCATCAAATCCATGGACGAAAAGATGGTACTCTTTGACATACCATCAATGATTACGTCCTTCCTCGGTATCGGCGTCTGAGCCGGTACCGTTGCAGCATTCAATTTGTTGAACGCGTGCACTATCCGCCACCCTCCTGTTGCTTTTCGCACACAGAAGGTCGGAGAGCTATGTGGGGAAGTTGATTCCCTCACATGGCCCGCTGCTAAACGATCGGCAAAGAACTTGTCGATCGCAAGTACTTGTTCACGAGGCAGTGGCCACTGCTTCATGACACAGTACTTCGAGCCTGGTTTAAGCTCGACTTCGTGTCGAATACCTTTATCCTTCGGTAATTCGCACGGAACAGTTTCAGGGAATACATCCTTGAATTCAACCAAATATTCATAGAGAGGATTTTCCTTGAGCGATTCCCATGATTGGGACTCATATCGCTCAATTCGTGTCTTTTCATCTAGGACACTCTCGTCCATTGATGAACTACTGAGAACTCTCTCGTTCTCAGTAAACACTGTTGCTGACCTTATGTCGGTTACATACTCGTCTTCAGCGACGAGTATGCAGATCTGCTTGACTTTGCCACTACGCAGATCACGCAAGAATCTTTTATGTTCGAGCGTTGGCAACTGAGTGATCTCCGAAGTTAACTTCGGAGGCGCAATCAGATCAAGTGTATAAGCGCCTACACATGATCCGTTATTGACTATGACATTCAATGTCTCTGTCATTTCCTGGGGACTTATTCCCTCAGGCTTCGAAGGACTTATTCCTTCGTCTTCCCGGGGACTTATTCCCGCGGGTTTCGGGGAACTTATTTCCGCCGTATTTGTAATCTTGGGACTTATTCCCTTTACTTCCTCTAGCTGGGGTTGCGCAACCACAGCGAGATCCTCTACGAAAGACTCTCCAGTCGATCTAGGATTATCGTTTCGCTTAACCTGAGCGATCGATTGTTTCTCTTCTGGATGTTCCCCGCTAGGGATACATCTTTGTCCTGGTCCACTCGACTTATTCGAGTGGTGGACCTTCGGCGCAGCCTGTGTTTCCTCACAGCCGCCGGAACTTTGCTCCGAAGTGTAACCGTTTGGTACACTAAGGTTTTGCGCAGTCGTACTAACGACCGTACCACAAGTGATGCCATCGCACTCACTCGTAGTACATCCACACGCTTTGGACGCTCCAAAACGTTCATCAGATGGCCATCTGATGAACAAGCGGCAGGCATCGTTACTGTCCGATGTTGCCAGTTTACCCGTGGTTCGTACCTTCTGAGCCACGGTATTCCAAGGATGACATCAAATTTGTCATCCAAATCCAATACGATAAAGTCATCGTCATATTGGGTATTTTATAGCGTATAGTGGATCTTCACTATACGCTTCATGACGGTTACGGATGCGCCTGTCGCAAGACGTACCGTCATCCTCGTAGGAGGTGTGTCACATTCACTGAACTTAAAGTGACCATCTTCTAGCGATTGGCGTCGCACAAAATTGTTGGACGCCCCACAATCGACTCGAGCTCGAAGGGACAACTTATTCGTCACTTCGAGTTTCAAGGTAATGAGTGAGACCTCATTACCTAGAGCAGCAACGCACAACGTCTGTGTGTTGGGAGCAACCTTCATCAAGAGGCCTACAAATTCTCTTGACGTTGCTGGATCAGTAGGGTGCTCCGCACCTACTGATCCTGTCCGTTTTTGACGGTCCATCCCGTTGTTGCGTCTTTGCACCAACTGCGGACCCTCGTCCCTGCCCCTTTCTCATGGGTGGACGGTCACTACGCCCAGTGTCGCGAGACACTGGACGAGGGGCACTACACTCGTAAGCGTAGTGTCCTGTCTTTTGACATCTGTTGCATCTCTGCAACCTCTTGTAGCCTGTAGAGCGAGCCTTCTCGCTCTCTACATAACAGAGTTCCATCGGCTCTGGACCTCCGTTGTCATATCGTCTCGGTTGACGATATGATGTCGAGCTGGCGCGAGCCTGTCTCAGACTGAAGTCTTCCTGCTCCGCAATGGAAATGGCTTGTTCTAGTGAATCTAGTTCAAGCCGGAACAGGTGAGTCTTGACGGGACCATCCGCAAGACCCTGCATGAACACCGAAACCAACGTGTGTTCATCCACCGGATTGGAACTTATACAACTCGTGAGATGTCGTATATGTTGCGCGTAAGCGTGCACATCACGCTTACCCTGCTTGAGCTTCAAGAGTTCGGTTCGAGCTCTGAACTCAGCTCTAGGCGGTTCAAACGTTTGTCTGAGCCGCGACTTGAAGACTTCCAACGACCCAAACGCATATGGGTCGTGCAACTTGAGCCCCAGTGCCCAAGTCTTGGCACTTCCTGCCAGATTTGACTGGGCAAATGCAACTTGCATATCCCCCTCGTCGATGCGACGCGCCCTTATGGCGTCATCCAATTCGACGAACCATCTCAAGAGGGAGTCTTCTTCGACCCCCCTATACTTGGATATGTCAATCTTCAAGGTTTCGGGTCGACGCGAGTGCATCGACCCACCAGCAGCAGCCTGCTGCTGTCTCAACAGTTCAAACTGTTGAGCACCCTGTTCTCTCAACAACTCTGCTTGTTGAGAACCTTGTTGGTGAAGCAAGGCTACTTTCTCGCGTTTGGCGTCAAGTTCATTTTGAATGAACTTGGCGATAGTAGCATATTGGGCATCTCTATTGAGAGCCTCTAGCATGACGCTAACAGCATGGATGCCCATGGTTGAACCCATCCGTTCAACCGCATCCCATTCGACATCGCTCAAATGGGAGTAGCCGTCACGCGTAGCGTGAAAGCTTTGGTCATCTTCATCATCCAACATATTCATGTTGGATGTGAACGTGGTCCTTGGACGGACTACGAAGTGCTACCAGGTGTAACGGGGCACCCTGAAGCTTGTACTGGTGACAGTACAAGCTACTTATTCTGATGACAGAATAAGGCGGTGTCTCGTAACTTCACGTACACTTGTACGTGTAGAGGAAGACGGTAAGAAGAAGCGAGTACTTGGTTAAAGTAAAAAGGAGAACTGTATTTAGTATAGTTAATGTCTGCAATAAATCACTATTTATCTTCATCTAACTATGTCTGAATACAAATGTGTCAATCAACTATCTGCTCACCACTCATTGCGTGCGTCTGTCGTGGCGCGTCTTCGTTGGTTGATATAATGGCCTATATCAACCAATTAGGAACTACTCGTAAGTGCTACAGAATATTTGTCCTTATGACAATATTCTGAGAATATAACTCTTATAGTTATATTCTATTAACAATTTCTTATAAATTGTTATGTAACGATTCACCCCGTTACAGCGCCTATGTAGCCAGCTGCTTCATCCTCGACTCAGTGACGCCATACTTACTCGATGCGTGACATACATCTGCCTGCATCACTAGCGCTATGGCGACGAGATTTTGCTTTCGCCGTCCACATCGAAGACATGCTGGAGACGGGAACAAGTTTCGCGGTGGTCGAGAGCTTCTTCACGATCCTGGCGTCACTTTCAATGAAGGGCATCAGTTACGTCCATAATATACTAGGGATGCGGGTGAAGATTAGGAGCAACGGCGCATTTCGCATCGATCAGGAGGAGGCGATCAAGGAGCTCCTGCGCGCACAGGTGATGAGTGACGCATATTAGATCAAGACGCCAATTGAAGACGACTACTGCGAGGTGGTAGATGACGGTGCCGCACTGCTAGAGATAACACGCGCGGGCGGTGGTGCGACGACACCGCGTTTAAGTTGCTCTTCGGGAGCCTGATGTGGTTCGCGCGGTGCTAGAGGCTATCACTGTCGGTGTGGTGCACAAGGCATCCTGGCAGACGCATGCAATGCTGGCTATACACTGGGAGCTAGCCAAGTGCATTGCGCGGTATCTCAAGGACACCGCGGCGCTCAAGCTTGAGATAACGCTGGCGCGAACGAGTCGCGACGCACTGCAGCTCGAAAATCAAAGATATGCCTAATTTGCGTCCGACAAGGGGATTCGAAAGTCGCTGACGGGACGCGTCGTGCTTCTCAATGTCATGCAGGTTTCGTGGACCTCAAAGAAGCTGGGCGGCGTGAGCCTCTCTGCAATGGAGGCTGAGTTTGTTTGCGGCGCCCTCACTTGTGCATTTGATTAAAGGAATATGATTTCAATAGCTCAGGAGTATTTTCGCATGATTTTCGTCCCTCGGAAACTCACATTTTATCGACAGTTTTGAGTTACGAGTTGTAGGTTAGCCACAATAGAACAAGTATGGTGGAACGCGGATTGTATGAGATACATGAATTATGAGTCATGAAGATATAAGTTATCCAAGATGTGACTGTAGAAAAGTGACAGATTGAGTTAGGGCCGGCTACATTGAACAACGACGTGGCACATTCAGCAACGTAAATCATTGAGTGTATCGTCATGGTCATGTGAGATGCCGTTTTAAGTTCATATTGCTGCTTCGCGCCATGACCCAATGTGAAAGAGCTGAAACCTACTTTTTCACACAAAGAAGATTCTTCGACTTCCGCCTCACCGCGGATCAATCCCAAGCGAGCTCGGCCATGTGTGGGGACACCTTTTAATGACTGGCTGACGCCTTGGAGGTGGGCAAAACAAGCGTACAATAGGGCATCGCTTTGTCGACACATGTGACAATGTTGGCACTCAATGTCTGATCGCTTCTGTGTGAGTATTGACGTGAAATGAAATACGTACGTTGCAAGCCATGCAGCAAGAAGTTGCTTCGTCAACTATACCTTACGCAATGTACTTGTCGAAGGGCTCCAAAGGCACAGGGCACATTCGTCATGAATCGCACACTTGACTTTTGGGCAACACATTAAATGAAATAGAGGGCTGCACACGGTTTTCAGTCAGCATTCGGACCAATGTTATTGACGTTAATTGTATTGCTTTTGCATTGTGGTAGCGTTAGAAAAAACTAATGGATCCGAGGAGCTGCAACGTAAGCTAGTAACACCAAGCAAGACAGACTATGGATACGTCGAGCGCGTATGTTAAGAGCGATTGCTGATGGCGGCTATAATATATGATGTTCGCTTACGCTGCGATGATACAGTGAAACTTTGCTGCATTGACGCTCAACTTCGGCTACAAGACGATAGCCAAAAGTGAGCGTGATGCGGGCAGGAGCACGAGCAGAACGTATAATCCGCGTATCCGGCAAGTCAATGGTGGTGACATGATACGCTTGTCGACAATAGGGAGCACTTTAGCACAGCAAGAGAATCGGCACACTAACACGACGCTAAAGACATCCAAGTGGTTCGCTATGTCCGGTCCATTACCTACTACAGACCGTTTATCGTCTACAACTTGCAGAAGGTAGGCCCTTTCAGCCCTGTGTGAATATTCAAGGGTAAAGGAATGAGCAAGAGCAGCATCCAAGTTGTGACTGCATTGCATGACTAAACATCGTGATGTTCCATTGAAGTACCGGCAACAACCCTGCGATTGGAACGACTCCATCAGCAAATGTGATTGTTATGATACAACAAATAATGTCTCAAATGCTCCGGTCACGAGGATAAGATACACGAGAATTGTTAGAAAAAGGCACGGTTAAAGTTACAGTTGAGGAAACGGCTGACGACTTAGTAAGGCGTTTGAGGATCAGTTGAGTGATTGATTGGACAGGTGCGTGGATGGGTGATTGATTGGACAGGAGTGATGGAGAACAAGAACATCTAGTCCATCATGCTAGCACAAAGAAGATAACACTACAAACGATGTCAGAATCCTTTTATCACAGTGCCACCGACTTCCTCTCTACAGCTTGCATCATGGCAAGCGAACAGGTTATGAGCCCAAGAAGGGAAGGAAACGAAGACACCAACGCAGCACAGGCGCCGCTGGCAACCGGTCACGAAAGGGCCGCGGCCGCGCCTGCTACGGTCGTCTTTCCCATTGCTTACGCAAGGAGCGCGGAGCCTGACGCACTGGCGAGGGTTCTCGAGATGCTCACGGGCATGGACTTGCGAATGCAGAAGATGGAAGCGTTCCAAGCACGCATGGATGAAGACGAGCGCATGCGCGGCTCTCAAAAGATTGGGCTGTACCGACCAGAGCTTGGGCAGACTTTGCAGGATGACTCCATGTAGTAGCGAGGGAGCTTGAGAAATTGCGCAATCGGAAGCCTTAGCATCAAGCGCGGTGTGCACTAGCTCGACTTTAAATTCTACGGACGCGAGACAGGCAGAAGCCGAAGCAGCGTGCTGATCCATTGTATCATTCGCCTTCATCATTGCCATCATACCAGCCTCCACCAGCGCCTCAGGCGATGCCGGCAGCTCAAGGTCATCCAGTTCATCAGCGGCTACAATTGACAGCGATGTAGTATCGCACTCCGGTTGCAAAGCAGTATAAGCTGGCGATTCGCAAGCTTGATGGCACCGAGGTGTACGTCGGACTAGGGTCCAGATTTTTTGACTGGGGCAAGACTTATTGGCGCCAGGTCGACATGGCACAAAAGTCTTGCGGCTTCCTAAAGAGCGAGAACGTGAAGGCCGACGTTCTCAGGCAGTACCTCACCGGCACTGTCGAGCGGTGCTTCGACAAGCAGGTCGACACGTGGTGGGTCGTACTGCCAACGTTGCAGTACATGATGCAGCGCAGTCTGGACACATTAAAAAGACTACGATAACTCTGTGCAAGCTATTTAGTTCTTCGCGACGAAGAAAAAGAGCTAGAGGTCTTGTCCAGGGCACTTCTTGTACCTGGTCGCTGTCAGCGACGCTGCGGGCAGAGCTGAGCAGCGGATTCTCGACAACATCGTGCGCTGCGCCTTGCCTGAGCTAATGACGATCCTCTTGGCGAATAACTGACGTATCGCATCGACTAACTCGTGCACGCGGTAGAGCTCGCGTATTTCGCTTTAGCAATCGAGATATATGCTCGATCGGGACGGTCCTTCGGGAAGGAGGTCGTCGCGCACGTGGACAAGTCCGCATCGCTCGAGGAGATACGCACTCGTCACAAGTGTGGGAAAGCTGGTTACCTGAAGAAGGACTGCCGCAACAAGAAAACTATCGACAGGAAGAAGGTCAAAGGCGCCAAATACGGCGACATCATCACGCTAGCTGTCGTTAAAAAAAAGAGGTCGCAACGGCTCGCGCGCCACAGGACAAGGTCTGGCGATGGCGATTGCCGACGACAGCGACGACGAAGATGACGACTGCATCCTCGACAGCGGGTTAGCCGTCACCGTTTCAGCGACGCATTCCTGCTGCGCAACGCCCGGGACCGCAATCAAATAGTGCCAATTGGCAGATGGCGAGACCATCAAGCTGACACGATCCGGCAGAGTCGTGCTGAATGTGCTCGAGAGAGGAGTGCAGCAAGATGTGACGCTGACGGAAGTGTATCTGGCGCCCGAACTGTAGCGTAACACCATGTCTTGCGGCAAGCTCGATGTCAAGCGTTTCGGGCTCATCTACGACGTCGAGTCGCGCGTGTTGGCACGATGCAGCAATGGCCAAGTCGCGTTCAAAGTGGCGATGGACCACAATGAAGTCTACGTACAGACGTTCACGGCGGCTCGCGATCCACGAGCGCCAAGCGACCTGCTCAAGGCGATCCCGATGATTCAGGCAGCTCCAGACGAGCGTGGTCGGACACGCAAAGCGGCTCGTTGCTGTACTTCCTCCAGAGGCTTGGACATCTTGCGTACGAAATTGTCGAGCGCATGGCGAGCGACCACGCTTCCCGCATCATGCTCACGGATTGCAAGCTCCCAACTTGCATCTCTTGCGCTCATGGTAATCAAACGAAGAACGTGCAGTCAAAGAAGGACACTGGCGCGATCTCGCCGATCGGCAGAGTTGGCGGGGGGATCTGCTCATACCTCAAGGGTTCAATGACCCCGAAGGACCGATTACACAATCGGTACCTTGCTTACTTTTCAGATCACAAGTCCATCTACTGTCGTGTCTTTCTGAAGCCAACCAAGGTTAAGGTGGACAAGATATTAGAGCGCTGCCTCGCTTTTTTATAGCGCCGTTTAGACTGCCGAATCCCCGTGCTACGCACCGACGGCGGCGGCGAATACGCGAATGTCGACCTCTTCTGCAAGCGAACGGGCGTCGCGCGGCAGATCAGCGAGGCGAGGAATCAGGCGTCAAACGGCAAGGCCGAGCGCATGCACAGGACGATCCTAAACATGGTGCACAGCTTGATTTTCGCCAGCCGACTGCCATTGACGTTTTGGGGTGATGCGGTTGAGTACGCGGCGTACATCCTCGACCGCAGCCCAACGAGCGCGAATGCGAAACGCGCGTCGCCGATCGAGGTACTGACGAAGCAAGTGCCGGATCTGCGCGACATCGTCGCCTTTGGCTCTATCTGCTCGGTCTACCGTGACCCAGGCAAGAACTCGCTCGCGCAGCGCGCACAAGTCGGCGTGATCATTGGGCGGAGCGACGAGACTAAGAGCTTTCGCGTCTTCCTCCAAAAGGAGAATAAGGTCACGATCACGCAGCATGTGCGCAACGTCGAGACGCTCAGCTCAGAGCAGAACGGTCAGCTGCAGCGCGCGCTCGAGTATGAAGATCGAATCATGGAGCCAGCGGCAACAGCAATAACAAGCAAAGAGTCGCCGGCTTCTTACGATGCCGCATCGCTGACGATACGCATCGGCAAGGAAAAATCGAAGTCGTGGACACGCGCGGCTCACCGGACGCGCGGCGCAACCAAACGCGCACAGGCGACCGGCGATCAGGAGGAGCCAGCTGGCGACGACAGCGTGGTGGCTCAGGTGTATGAGTGCGATCCCAAAAACTACGATGAAGCACTACGTAGCACTAAGCGTGAAGGCTGGGAAGAGTCCATGCGCGAAGAGCTCCAAGCCCTAGAAGACAATGGCGTGTGGCGCTTGATCAAGCGACCTCCGGGCAGCAACACTCTGCACACGAAGTGGGCCTTCAAGACCAAGACCGACGCGCACGGTGAGATAGAGCGCCTGAAGGCTCGACTGGTCGCCTGCGGCAACGAGCAAGTTTTGGGGTCGACTACCAGCTTACATTCGCGGCTGTCATGGACTTGTCGACCGTGAAGGTGACCTTGGCGCATGCGGCGACATGGGGTGTCCCAGCAAAGCATGGCGACATCCCCAACGCGTATGTCAAGGCTGGCAAGGAACAGCAGTTGGATATACTACTACAGATGCCGCGGGCAATGACAATCGATCAAGACGTGCTCAAGATGGTAGGCGCAGTGACAAAGAAGGGAGTAGTACTGCAGCTACGAAAGAGCCTGTACGGCCTCAAGCAGGCTGGCCGACTCTGGAGCCAGCTCCCTGCAGGCTCGGCTGCTCGAAGCCGACTAGCTTCCGGCAATGCATTTCCGACATGTGTCTATACTACCAAGTCGAGGGTGGGCAGTTGGTCATCGTGGGCGTCTACGTCGACGGCCTACTTTCTACCGGCACGAACGCTGCAGCCGTCGACCGATTCTTTGTCAAGCTCGGCAGCTCGTCGATCAAGGACCTCGGTATCCGTTAACAAGATCCTCGGCATGCGAGTCACATTGACAACAGTAAAGGATACGTGCTCGACCAGACTGAGGCGATCGGCGAGCTCGTGCGTGAGAATGGGCTCGAGGACGCGAGCTTGACGAAAGCACTAATTGGCTCTGACTGCTACGACGTGCTATCAGATGACAGCACGCTGCTCACCGTGACTACGATGCATGAAGAGCCACCGATCACAACTTTCCAGTCCATTGTCGGCAGTCTTCTGTGGATCGCGTGCTGCCCACAAGCGGACTTGCCTTCGCCGTGCATAAGGCGATGCGTCAGCCTCATCAGCCGCAACTCCACGACATGAAGCTGGCCAAGCGTATCGCGCGGTACCTGAAAGGCACGCGTGACTACAAGCTTTGCATGAAGTCAGCGAAAGACCTTGACTAAAAAGATCCAGCTTGAGTTGTACTCGGACGCCGACTTTGCTGCGGAGAAGAGCGACAGGAAGTCCACGACCGGCGGCATCATCCGCTTGAGCGGCATGCCGTTCAGCTGGACGTCGAAGAAGCAAGGAGGCGTCTTACTCTCGACAATGTAAGCGTATATCGTTGATGCATCGGAGCAGGCGCGCAAGCTTCTTGGTATCAGGGAGATGCTAAACGAGATCGGTAAGCCGCCGGCGCTACCGATGGTACTCCACGTTGATAATCAGGCGGCACTGAAGCAGCTGGCCGGCGAGGCGTCATCTCTCAAGGCCAAGCACATCGATGTTCGCAAGAAGTTCGTGTGCGACTTCGCTCGACGCGGGATCATCGTGTCGCAGCACGTCCGCTCGGAGCAACAACTCGCGGATCTTTTGACGAAGGCGCTGGACGCAGTCAAGCTCGCGACGCTGTGCAAGATGATCGGCCTCGGTTAGGACGGTAAGCCGTAGCCGAGGAGGAGTGTTAGAAAAAGGCACGGTTGAAGTTACAGTTGAGGAAACGGCTGGCGACTTAGTAAGGCGTTTGAGGATCAGTTGAGTGATTGATTGGACAGGTGCGTGGATGGGTGATTGATTGGACAGGAGTGATGGAGAACAAGAACAGCTAGTCCATCATGCTAGCACGAAAAAGACAACACTACAAACAATGTCAGAATCCTTTTATCACAGTGCCACCAACTTCCTCCTTACAGCTTGCATCATGGCTAGCGAACAGACATTACCACTTTAAGTGCGTTGACGTTATCTGTGTGTGTCACATTATGACAAGGCCGTTCGGCTCTTGGACTTCCATGAAGCATTGCTTTGTGTGCAAACGCTCACTTCAGCCATCAAGCAGCTCAACGTACGAAAAGTTCGCTGATACTAAACTTGCTGCCATCGGTGTGGTCGTTTTGCATCAGCGTAATAGCGCAAATCTAAGTGTCGAGTCGGCGGACAACTGGCAAATTTTTTACAGCTAAGAGCAGAGCACAACGAAATGGTAACGGTAGCTGTGCCTGCAGTATTCTGAAAGGATAAAGGAATGATCAGTATGTGCCACTTGTCATTGGATTCGTTTGCTTTGTAAAGACCGTCCAGCGACAAAATGGATGATGTGAGAGAGTTGCACAGAGAGAACGAGGGCACGAGGGCACAAAGGGAAACTTCAACCCAGAACTCTCCGCATCCTTTACAAATCGACGAGACGCGCGAGATACATGGATGCGGCCCCCTTTGCATCCGTCTATCACGAGCGCAGCGGTATGCAACCATCAAGGGGTGATCGCATGTGACGAGTGTAACGGGGCACCCTGAAGCTTGTACTGGTGACTGTACAAGCTACTTATTCTGATGACAGAATAAGGCGGTGCCTCGTAACTTCACGTACACTCGTACGTGCAGAGGAAGACGGTAAGAAGAAGCGAGTACTTGGTTAAAGTAAAAAGTAGAACTGTATTTATAATAGTTAATGTCTGCAATAAATCACTATTTATCTTCATCTAACTATGTCTGAATACAAATGTGTCAATCAACTATCTGCTCACCACTCATTGCGTGCGTCTGCCGTGGCGCGTCTTCGTTGGTTGATATAATGGCCTACATTAACCAATTAGGAACTACTCGTAAGTGCTACAGAATATTTGTCTTTATGACAATATTCTGAGAATATAACTCTTATAGTTATATTCTATTAACAATTTCTTATAAATTGTTATGTAACGATTCACCCCGTTACATCACTCCCCCCTTAACCATCAGTCACTTTAGTGACTGATTGACTAAATGGATACTCGTCCCAAATCATTTGGGACAGGGTTTGCACTTGTTGGTCCGCGTCCACTTTCCAACATCTCATCGCATGGTTAACAAGCCCATGCGATGCGCGAGCAAGGCCGCCGAGAGCGCGTCCGCACGTCTCTGTGCGGACGCCGAAGCAGAAACAACAGCAACTGATGTCTCATCGGTTGCTGAAGTGACCCAGCCTGTGTCACTTGGTGATGCAGGCGCTGGTCATGAAGACACTCGTGTCTTCGCAGAGTACGAGCTCGGTGTCTCGTACTCTCTAGATACGGATGACGGATCCGTATCGACGGCGATTGAATCTAAGCCGCCTGCCAAGCGTGGCATGGACGATGCTTTGCGTCGCAGCATCTTTGGTTCATCTGATGAATCAGATGAACCATCGCCGAAGCGAAGGCGCTCGAGGTCGCGAGACTCGGGCGCTAATAGTGGTGTCGGTTCTCCTATTGACACCACTTCACAGCGAGGTGACAGTACATTTGTCGGCACATCGCAGGAAGAGCGGGACCGCAATGTGTTGCGTCTCGCTCCAGAAAAGAAGGCATGGATGCCTCCAAAATCTGTCATGGATCACTTGTCGGCGACGACGAGTGATCGTTATCGAACACGATTGTTCGATTCGTCGAGGATCCATCACCTTGACCCCAGCGCGAAAAACTATCGCGCTGAGACTGAATTCTTCATCGATGCTTTCTTTAGACATCGATGGTACAGTGGGAATCACAAGCGTGATGGTCCCTCACTGCTTCAGGCGTGGAACGCCTACATCCATAACCTCGAGGGTGTAGATCGTGACGCTTGGAACGACAAACTTATCAAAGCTCGTGATAAGTTTGAAAAGCGAACCCCGACAGGTGCACGCTACAAGCTGCATCGTCTGTCAAGGGAGAAAGGATTACCCTGCCTCTCTTGGGGAGACTCGTGCCCGTGTTGTGTGAACAACTCTGCACGAGCACCTAAGAAGGCTTACCTCCCTAATAGCCCCTGGTGGCGCGTACGCATCTCTATCGAGATGTACGAAGGGATTGACAACTTGAAATCCCTTTACGACCGTGCCGGGAAGACTTTCTCCGGCGGTCCTTCTGCGGCACAGGATGTGCCGCGTCGTACTGCTCAACCAGACCCAGTACGTCGATCATCAGTTGGGAGCGGGGCTGCCAAGAATCCCAGGACGGGGGATAGCCGGGCCACCGGACGAGATAACTCGTCCGACGTCCGTTCACGTCGCGGTGGTTCAACAGCTGCTCAACTAGATATCTCTGGCCACCGCGAGAGTCCTCTAATGGAGGTGAAGGAGGAGGAAAGACGCTCTCCACACGATCATGTGGATCGGTGTGTTCCCGAGAGCTTCTTTGATCGCGTAACGCAAGGGTTACGCAACGATCTCGAACATGAGCGGGACAGGCGTCTCCAAATGGCGGACACTGTCTCGAAGCATCGAGTTGAGTTTGCCTTTGCTCAGCTTGAGAGCGAGAGAGCTCTGACATCTCTTCGTGACGAGCTAAGTGTAGCTCGTGGGATTGTTGATCGGTCTCGGGATGAGATAGCTGCTCTTCAGACCCTTGTTGATGCCCACCATCGGGAGCACAAGGCTCTCTGCGAGATGCTTGAGCGCAAGGGCGTTCTTCATCGGAAGAAGAAGCGTACTGATGGCACGGCTTAAGCCGACCAACGTAAAACGTGGGATGCGTTCGCATCTTACGTGGTAACTCGATCGTGTATGCATTGCCTAGGCGGTGCAATACACGAAATGGGCCGATGTACTTGGGTAGTAGTTTACGGCTACCCAAGTTAGTCACTACATGCTTTGGTAGATTAACCGTAGACAGTAGGACTAAGTCACCTTTATTAAATAAAAGAGTGTTTGCCCTTCCATTCTTGTCAGCGTTTTGCTTTTGCTTATCCACCGCTTCGGCGATGGAGTCTTGCACAAAACGGACTACTATTTCACGAGCCAGTATGAACTCATCTGATGACTCGTTAGCTTCAGTGCGCTGTGAGCGCACTGCAGCAACATCAACCTTATCTTCAGTGAGGGCTTCCGCACTCTCACTGGGATCATCTTCTTCAGTGAGGGCTTCCGCACTCCCAATGGCATCATCTTCTTCGATATCGATGTTATCGATATCGGCATCAAACGCCATGACCTCTTCGTCAGAGCGTGATGAGCGTGAACCAAATCGGTTTTTGCTCGCGCGAGTCCCTCCCCCCCTTAAACCAGAGTTACACTCTAGTAAGGTGGGTACACGCGGATGGCGCAAGCCATTCACGTAAAACGGTGTATGTGTCGTGGACGCATGCACCGAGTTGTTAATGGCAAACTCTACCATTGGCAAAAACTCACTCCAACTCTTAAAGGAGTGTACGTATCCTCGAAGTATCTCTTCAAGGACACGATTGGCACGTTCCGTCTGACCATCTGACTCTGGATGATCAGATGTTGACATCTTCAAGCGCGTTCCGAGTGATTTGAACACGGAACGCCAGAAATCAGCAGTGAATCGTGGATCTCTGTCTGATACGAGTTCACGGAGCAACCCATGAAGTCGGAAGATGGTGTCAATAAAGACACAGGCACAGCCACTTGCCGTGATTGTCTCTGGTACAGCCACAAGGTGTACCATTTTGCTGAATCTGTCAACAAATACGAGAATACTTGTATTCCCGCGTGCGTCTTTGGGTAACCCGAAGACGAAATCCATTGAGATGGATTCCCAGCACTCAGCCGGAACCGTTAGAGGCTGTAAAGGTGCACGCAGTGAAGGACTTGACTTCACTCGTTGGCAGACTTCGCATCCGCGAACATACTTTCGCACAAACTGATACTGGCGGGGCCAGTAAAAGTCTCGACTCACCGTGAGATATGTTTTCTCTCGGCCACGATGTCCTCCTATAGGAGCATCGTGATACTCGAACATGATCCGCAAACGCAGATCAGTATCATCTGGAATGACAACACGTGGTGTGTTACCAGAAACGGCTGTATAGTACAGTAAACCGTTACGAGTAGTGTATCGATCTGATGCAGATCGATACGCAGACGACAATCGTTTCAACGATTCTCGGGATGGTTGGGAGAGATGTGTCAACAACTTCAATATCTCACCATCTTGGGCGTATGCCCGCCTCACATCATCATACAACGTTGTAGATGGAACTGAGGACGTCATAACCGCAACCGTGACTGTCTCACTGTTGGGTTTCGCGACTGTTTCAAAGTCGGGACGACGTGAGAGTGCATCAGGGAAGACATTAAGTCGTCCTGGTTTGTACTCGACCGTAAAGTTGTATTCTGCAAAGAATGACAACCACCGCGCCATTCGTTGTGAAAGGTGCGGACTGTTCACTGCCGTGCGTAATGACGCATGGCCAGTGTAAACAATGAAGGGTCTATCTCCTAATAGATAGACTCTGAACTTCGCGAGTGCATACTTCATGGCAAGGAGTTCCTTGTCATGCACTGGATAGTTCCGCTCAGCTGGTTGCAGCTGACGCGACTGATGACGCGTTCAACGCCTTCTAGGTCGTACTGCATTAATGCACAGCCGATTGCGAAATCGCTGGCATCACAAACCACATGAAATGTCCTGTCTTGATCGGCTATTGCTAGGACTGGGGATTGTATCAAGCTCTGCTTGATACCCTCAAAGGAG